TGTGTCCCCACAGCCTCGATCATTCAGGAACCTCCAGGGCTGAGCATTAGTCTCCACCTTCCACTCTGGATTTACCAACCCAAGGACGCCCTCTTTTCCCAATCCTGTCCTCCCCACTAATTAGTATTATGCATGTGCTAATAATCATCTGTGTTGCTGCTAGATGAGACTGGTGCTGAGTGGCTGCTGAAGCCACTGCTTGTCAGGCCCTGGTGAGCAGAGCCACTTGGGGATCTGAGCCAGTAGTTCTGGGGCAGGCCTGTACCTCTGCAATCCCAACAAGCTTCTCCCTCTCCCTCTCTTTCTCTTTCTTTCCCTTTTCTCTCTCTTTCCCCTCTCTCTCATCTCTCTTCTCCTCTCTCTCTGCTCTCTTCTCTTCCTCTCTTTCCTTCTCTCTCATCTCTCCCACTCTTTCTCTCCTCTCCCCACTCCCCTCCCTCCTTTCTCCCTTCTCACTCCTCTCTCTCTTCTCTCCATCCTAAGGGCCATTCCTAGTCTCCTCTGCTAGAGAAGCATAAACCTGCCCAAGGAAGGCAGCTTCACTACAGCCCAAGGATCCTGGGGCCTCCTGTATGATTCTCCCCAGCCTGTAGGAGCTCCTGATTGAATCTAAAGGGGGTTGGGGCCCCATCAAGAGGATTGATTCCAGGACTCACACTCCTCTGAACCTATAGCCCCAGCCAAGCTCTAGAATGCTAACCAGAGAGGAGCATTCTCGATAGAGCCCTTTCCCAGCCCTATTGGCCCTTCCTTCTCTGGGCCTCAGTCTCCCCCTTTGTAATATATGGGTAGACTGGAGCTGTCTCTTAGACATCTGGCTCTGTACCCCATTAACACAGGTTCAAGCTCAGCTCAGGATAGGTGGAGGTGGGCCAGGGAGAAAAGGTGGGGATGGGGAGACCCAGCAGGGCAGGCTGGCTTCCCCAGGATGCACACCTTCGCAGCTTCTTTCTGCACAGAAGATTCAAGATTATTTTTAGGAAGATTGGTGCCTCCTGGGCTGTGATTCATTAATGCAACTGACAAAGATCAGCATCTTTTGAAATCACAGTGGGAAGCTGAGATTTCCACTGGTACTGCATCTAGGGAAGGGGGCTGTGGGGCAGGGCCTTATGTGACAGTGTCACATGGGCGGGGCCAGAGGATATGGTCCTTGGAGCCTACAGAGGCTAAAGTCAGAAGAAATCGAAGTTAATTCCTATGTTCTCAAGGCACTCGGCACTACTCCTCTGACACCAGATGTGCGGGGGTGGTGCCCCACACACTAAGCACATCTTCAGTGAGTGCCAGCTGTGTGTCCTGTCTTTCAATCCATTTCTGACACTGCAACCTGGAGAGAGCATCTAGCTCACAGACCTGAGGTAGATCCCTCAAGATGCCAGTCACAAGCCCCACCTTGTGACCTGAGCTTTTGCCCAAATGACTAAATCTGGGCTCCTATGACCTCCCGCTCAGGCTTAACTAATTCTCTAGGATAAGCTCACACAGCTCAGGGGAGCACTGTACATACACCTGCCTATTATACAAAGGATCCAGATGAACAGCCAGATGGAGGAGCTGAACGGGCTCAGAGTTTCCATACAGCCTCTGGGCACACTGCCTCACTAGTACCTCCCCATTGGGTCAGCAATCTGGAAGCTTCCTCAGCCTGATCTTTTTTGTGTCTACAGGGTGCCTTCATTACACAGGCATAATGGATCAAACCACTGGGCACCAGTGACCAACTTGACCTTCAGCATCTCTCTTCTCCCTAAAGGTCAACCCTCTAATCACATCAGAGTCTTCTGATGCTATCTGATGTGATCAGCCCCTATCCTGAAGCTTTCTAGTATCATCTCATTAGCATACAAAACATTGCTCTGGAGGTTCCAGACTTTAGGAGGTATGTGCCAGGACCCAGGACTCCAAGGACTCAGGAAAAAGACCAAAAAATGTATTTTTTATTACACTGTAGTATATCAAGGGACCTGAGAATGAGCATTTTGAGACGGAAGAAATTAGTGCTTAGGGCAGGACAAAGCAAGATCTCTTCAGTGTATTCTGAGGTGTGTGTGTGTGTGTGTGTGTGTGTGTGTGTGTGTGTGTGTGTGTGTGTGTGTGTGTGATGGAGGATAGCCAATGGTGACACTGACATCACAGATAACCTTCAAGGCCTCTTTGGATTTATTCCGATAAATACTCATTGAGGCCGTACTATGGACTATGAGACCTTAGTTACCCCCTCTCCCATCCACCACTCAATTATTCTGCAAATGTATATTGGTTACCTGCTCAGGGCAGGCCCTGAGTCAGGTGTTAGTGTCAGAGAGGAGCCAGCCTTCAAGGCTCCGAGTATAGTGGTAAAGCAATCCATGTAGTCATTTCTGAGCTACAGGTCAGAGGAGAGCCTCGAGCACCCAGGAAAGCATGTACTTAGCAGAGCCTGCAAGAATGAAGGAACACTGGGCAAAAGCACAGGGGCATGATGAGACTGGTGAGTTCAGAGAAGTGGCCCAGAGGAGGAACGGGACGTGATGGTCTTCCTCGGCCCCAGCACGCCATGGCACTGAAGAGGACCCTTTGCCCACCAACATTCTCAGACCCGAAACCTCTTCTTGGTTGGTTGGTTGTTTTTATGTCAGTACTCTGGCTTAATTAAACTCAAGGCCTGGATGCTGTCCAATTACAATACCTGAACTAAATTATAGTAATTTAAAAATATTGTCATTATTAAAGTGATATACAGAGAGGTTACCACTTCATAGGTCAGATAATGAATACAGTTCTTTTGGGCAATGTCATCTCTTCACTTGCTCTCTCCCAATTTGCCCCTCCTACAAGTTGTACCTGCCTACAAGTCGTATAGTTCATTTTCAGTGTGTCTACTGAGTACCACTGCTGCCTTTGTTCACCCTTTGTCCTTCCATGTCTGTGTGTAATTTTGTCTTTTGACAGCAGGAAAGAATCTCTCTGACCTCAAAGTTCATGTCTTCATGAAGCCTAAGTTTATTGACTCAGAAACACAATTCCTTCCAAGGGGCCAGCTTGGATAATGTTTATGTAATCAGAGTATTATATCCATTTTGTGGTGTTGGGGATTGAACCCAGGGGTTTGCACACCTGCGGCAAGTATCTACCACTGAGCTATACCTTCAGCCCAAAATTTGTCAGTGTAGATTTCTTCTCAGAACTAGGCCTTACACATGTTAGGTAATTGCTCTACATCCTCAGCCCTTAATCAGAAATATTATGAAAGTTTATGTTGACATAGAACAGGCAAAGCCACAAACTTCTAGCTTACAAATGCTAGAACCTGGTACAAGAAGTTGTAAGTTAAAAGAGCTTGGTAATGAGTTTGATAAAGCACCTGGTCCTATAAAATAAGTCAGATCATAAACACAGATGGAGAAGAGGCAGAAACAAGCTTGCTTTTCTTTCTTCTTCCTTTGTTTCATTCTTGCTTGCTTTCTGTCTGTTGGTCTGTCTTTCTTTCCTTCTTATTTTCTCATTTGCTCGCTTGCTTGTTTGCTTTTTCTGCGGTAAAGTTAATTCAAGGCTTTGTATTTCCCAAATAAGCACTCTATCTTCATCCATACTCCTTTTGCTTTTAGTCTGTTTTTCAGATAAGGTCTTAAACTTTTGCTCAGGCTGGACTCCATCCTCCCAACTCTACCTCCCAAGTAGCTGGGATTACAAATATGTACCACCTTACCCAACCTCAAACTTTTTCTTCTTACACAGTAGATTAGTGGGGAGACTCAAAGCTACAAACCAACACATGCAAAATTTGAGCAAATTACCTCATGTTGTAAGGCTAAAAAACAGAACTAAAAACAGCACAACAAAACTAGGAAGAGAGCTAGAAGCAATAAGAGGAAGAAGTGCACTAAATTTATCACATTTCATAAGAAAAAAATGAATAGATACTGTCCAAAGTCAACAAACCATGAAATAGAGGTGAAAGAACTTTTAGTTCTATGGTACAAGCCGCCAAAACTATTCATGGAAAATAGTTCAGTTGGTTTCCTTTGGGTAATAGGATTGGATGTAATTAAAAAAACTCCCGTTTAGCTTAATGCCATTATCTATAATTTGCCTCTTTAATTAGTTTAATTACTTAATTTTGTGGTACTGGGGTTTGAACTCAGGGCCTCATGTTTGCTAGGCAGACACAGACTACCACTTGAGCCATGCCCCAGCCCATTTATTTATTTATTTATTTATTTATTTATGTGCCTTATAGGATCTTATACTTTTTCATATAAGGTTTTAAGCTTTTGCCCAGGTCTAGCCTCCAACTACTATTCTCCTCTCTATGCCTCCTACAGTCATAATATACCTTAAAATCTTACAGGGGAAGAGTTGAGGGAAGGAGAAGAGTCTAGATGTGGGTGGGGGGAGGTATGTATGCAGATGTGGGTGGGAGAGGAAAGAATTTGGGTTCCATTGGTCTGTGGGTACTGAAGCTCCCCAGGAGCAGGGTACCTATCGCGTACTATCTAGGCTTGTGCTGACACCAAGTTTCTAAATAATTATCACAAACTGACCAAAGAAAAAGAATTAGATGTCAGTGCTGGGCTCCTCTTTCACCCAGGAGTCGGGGAGAGAGAGGGTGGAAAAAAGGAAGGGAGGGAGAGGCAGAACATGAGGGAAGGAAGAAAAGAGGAGGGAAGAGAGAGAGAAAGAAGGCAGTCAGGGAGGAACGAAAGGCAAGTTATGAACCAGTCTCACCTGAAATCCTTTAACAGGACAGACAACAGCCATCTTCTTAAACCTTTTTTTTTTTTTTTGGCCAGTTGTGGGGCTTGAACTCAGGGCCTGGGCGCTATCCCTGAGCTCTTGCTCCAAGCTAGTGCTCTACTGTGTTGAACCACAGCTCCACTTCTGGTTTTCTAGTGGTTATTTGGAGATAAGAGACTCGCAGACTTTCCTGCTTGGGCTGGCTTTGAACCACGAGCCTCAGATCTCAGCCTCCTGAGTAGCCAGGATTATAGGCCTGAGCCACCAGCACTTGGCACACATACTCTTTGCTGCTGTCCTAGCCCCAGGCTCACAGTGGTACGAAACAGGTCAAAGGCTTGTTTCTGAACAGCCTGAGATTCAGAGAAAGTCCAGAACCCTTGGATGACTACACTCTCACAGAGAAACAATGGACGGTGTAACTGTGGCAAGCCATGGCAGAGGAAGGAAGCTCCCTAGGACTTGGGTATCCTAAGCTCTGAGTTTCTCCCCTATAAGGCCACGTAATCCTCTTGCTCAGGGGCTTGGCTACTGTTTCTGCTGTGATTACAAAACAATCCTTCCTCTCTACCCCAGGAATCGCATGTCTTCTGCTAGCATTCTCAAAGGAGGCTAATTCAGGAAAGACGCAGATCATTCACAGGTCTTAGGCAAGGTGTTTGTGGAGATGCGTGTTTCAGTGGCTTTGGCTTTGACAACATTTGTATGCGTCTGCAAAAACAAAGAAATTCGTTTTTATTGGTAATGGTATCTGGAGGAAAGTGTTTTTCAGAGTTAGAAATATTATAAAACAACCCCTTGAGTAGTTCAAGTCTCTATGAGAAAATGATAAACATGTATTGCATACAGGGCTGATCCAGCTTTCCTCATTGAATAACAAGAAGGAGACAAGGACTAAGAAATAGAGAGAGAGAGGTACCCCTCTCTTACCCATGCACCTGCCAGCTGGGTTTCTGTGGGTCACAGGATGCGCTGTAGAATTTAAGGGTACTGGGCTTAAGCTGGCACAACTCTGGTGACCACAGGAAGAGGCCCATAGAGACCTTGTCCCACCATCAAAGATAAGACAAGTTGCTAAACACTGAAAGGGGCCTTTGTTTTTCAAAAGACAATCTTCTTTTCTACCCCATCTTTAAAAAACGCCTACTTGCCAGGTGCTGGTGGCTCATGACTGTAATCCTAGCTACTCAGGAAGCTAAGATCTGAATATCACATTTCAAAGCCAGTCTGGGAAAGAAAGTCCTTCCAATTCTTATGTCTAATAAACCACCAATCTGAAGTGGTGCTGCGGCTCAAAATGGTAGAGCGCTAGCCTTGAACAAAAAGAGAATTCAGGGACAGCTCCCAGGCCCTGAATTCAAGCCCCATGACTGACAAAAATAAAAATAAATTTAAATTTAAATAAGAAAATAAACATAGTGTGGCAGTTCAATTATATAAATAAAAATAAATAAATACCTACTTCTACAATATTCCAACTCTATCAATGTCCTGCCCACTCTAGACCAATTAAGTCACTCTGGGTCTGGCTTTACAATAAAAACCACTCTGGGTATTTTTTCTCTAGGAGCTAAGCACTTTCTTGGTCCAAGCTCATGCAAAGCAGAGCCCAGTGAGGTTTGGGTGCAAAGGAGGCACCAGAAAAGGCACCAGACCTGGTCCCCAAGGTAGCGCGATGAGCACATGGTGGTGCCTTTGAGTGGCCGGGCCTCAGCTAGACCCTTAGGTTACTGGCATGTGCTCAAGAGGATTGCCAGATGCCAGCCTTGTCTGTGTTGGTTTCCTGACTCACTATGTAGCCATTCCCTTGACCATACATTTCTACTATGTTGGATCACTCAGTCTTGAACCGGAACTTCTAACACCCTGAGCCCAAAAGTCATTTTTCCCCCCTCTTCACAAGTCACCTGCCTCTTCTCTTTCATTATAGCAATATGAAGCTAACACCAGACCTTGGCCAGATGGAAGCCTTCCAGATTGGAATTATAGCCCTACACATAAGAGCCTCTGCATGGCCCCCACAGGCTAGAAGTTGAACGACCCCCTTCCCACACCTACACCACCTGAAGGCCCATGGATTGGCCCATCATGGTAAGCCAGCCTAAGGCTGGGAAGCTGCAGACAGAAAGCTGACCGAGCAGAGAAAGACTTTCATGGCTTCCCTAGCTACTCCTAGCCGCTTATTAATATTCAGGTAGCCACTCACACTATTCATCTGAGGCCACAGAGGAGCTGAGATTTGATCTAGCCTGGCTATGCTGCATTAAAATCAATTAAAAAGGAGAGATAAGCCTCTTCTTTCTGATTGAAAAATACACAGGCACAAAAGATGCACACATATACACACACAGAGCCCCATCAATCACCCAGGCTCTGCTTTCCTCGGCCTTCTCCTCCTCCTCCTCCTCCTCCTCCTCCTCCTCCTCCTCCTCCTCCTCCTCCTCCTCCTCCTCCTCCTCCTCCTCCTCTTCCTCCTCCTCCTTTCTTCTTCTTCGACAGCTGCAGAAGGAGGCAGCTGCACAGGCCAGTCTTCCTGTGAGGGGCTGTGACCGGAGACTCCCAGGCTGGATCTCAGCTGCCAACAGGACATGCCTACGATCGCATGGCTGGCTGATGGCCTGGCAGTCTGACCGCAGCCTGTGGTGGCAGATAGCAGCCAGAGGGAAGGCAGGAGGCCTGTTCTTTTGAGCCTTCTCCATAGGCCTGACCACTGATTCCTTTTCACTCCTGGCCTCAAAATTTAGACCTCACAAAAGACTCATATTATCTTAGCTGTGGAGAACTGGACAGACTTAGACTTCTTTCTTATTCCTCTTAGGATAATTTTCACTGCTTTGATCATTCTCATGGAGCTACATTTTCTTATAATTCCAAGCAAAAATGGTTGTGTGTGTGTATGTGTATGTGTGTGTGTCTGACCTGCATCTACACAGAGCCTCATCTATTAGCAGAAGTTGAGTCAATATTTGTCACATGAATGAAGAAAATGAACGAAGAAAGTGCACCTGCCATCCTCCAGCCATTACCAATCAAGCAGATAGTAGTTAGTACCAGCTTAGGTAGTTTTGATGTCAACCTTTTATCAGTTTAATTTCTTTGGTAGTTAATTTAACCAGTTGACAAGTCTTTGGTAGGTCTCTTGACAAACTGAGAAAACATTCATCTAGGCACAGCCAATCCCGGCACTGTACCATACCCCAAATAGCTAGCTTTCTGGAAAAGGCCAGCCTGAACTTCATCCTATGAGAATGAATGCACTTGGCTGGGCAAGGCTGGAAGGAAAATACAGCTTTTGGTGGCCAGGGAAAGGAGCCTGGACTTGCTCTATGTGGGCAGATGTCCTGCATACCCCCAAATAGCTCTTTTACACAGGTGTGAAGAACAACCCACCTGGAAACTGTATAAGGACCAGGAAATCACTTGGCCTATGACAGGACAGACATGTATGTTTCTGGACAGAGGCCCATGCGATCTGCTTGTATTGATAATTTTGTATGGCCCACAAATGATGTTATAAATATCTTAATGACCCTTTGCACAAAAAAATGGTTTCCTTGCTCCTACTGGAGAGTTAGTATAATGGACAATAAACAAGAGTGGCTGGATTCAGGACCACGGGGAGTTTATCGACTTCCCCCATGGAAGCAATGATTAGATTGGACTTGGAATGCAATTCTTTCCAGCAACTTATGAAAAGGTATTGACTCAAATGCATAATTGTTTCAAGTAATTGGAGTGCTTTGAATTCATCCAGCTAGGAGCTTAGCTTGTAATGAGGGTTGGTAAATCATAATCTTTGCAAAGACCCAGGCCTGGGCAATGCTCCCTCTGGACCAAGGCTGTCTGGCAGACCCAAAAATCTGCAGGATATACTTCCTTGCAGGGCAAGGGTGTTTCTTTCTTCTGGTGCAAGTGTGTGAAGAGCACACGCACACACACATGCACACATGAGAGCACACGTGCTGATCCTGGGGCTTGAACTCAGAGCCTGAGTGCCATCCCTAAGACTTCCTGGTCAAGGCGAGCACTCTACCACTTGAGTCATAGTTCCACTTCTGACTTTTTGGAAATTTATTGGAGGTGAGAATCACATGGACTTTCCTGCCTGGTCTGGCTTTGAACCACAATCCTCAGATCTCAGCCTCCTGAGTAGCTAAAATTACAGGTGTCAGCCACTGGTGCCCAGCCATAGGACCTTTTAATATTTGCCTTAAATGGGATTTGTTTTCTTCCTGCAAACAAGACAATGCTTCTGTCCATGTTATAGTCCAATGGTTTCACAAACATTATGAGCAGGTTGTCCAGCAAGCACTTCCTGACTACCTGAGCTATTTATGCTTAAAATATCTGTTTGTAACCTAGCTGAGCTACCCCCATGATACCTTGTTATTGATGGAAGGGGACTGAAGAGACCCTGAGGAGTTAAAGGACCCCTTGTTCTAGATCAGTAATTCTCCAACCCACTGGTTTCTGAACCTGTTTTATATTTCTAAAAATTAAAACCCCTGAAATCTTTGGCTTAAATGGGTTACATCTATCAATGGTTACCAAATTAGAAAGTAAAACTAAGGAAATCTTAAGTTTAATGCAACGATAAGATACTCAATATGTGTCACATTTTTGTGAAAGATAATAGTTCCTATAACAAGTAATGTGCATTATTCACAGTCTTGCAGACTTCTTTGATGTCTGGCTTAATAGAAGACAGCTGGATGCTCATCTCCACTTCCACTGATATGCCACTGCCATATCACATACCATCTTGTTTCTAGAGCATTTTACTACAGGAGAGACTGAGAGTAAAAACAAGGCACAAAAGTTAGCTAACTAGGAGGCTGAGCCCTGAGAATTGCTCTTTGAAGCCAAGCAAAATCTGAGGGAATCATATCCAATTAACCAACCAAAAGCCAGAAATGGATTTGTGGCTCAAGGGGTAGAGCATGAACCTTGAGTAGAAAAAGTCAAGCAAGAGCACAAGATCCTAAGTTAAAACCTCACGATTGTTTCTAACACATTTATAAGATGATTTCTTTGTTGCTTTGTATGTCCCTCCCCCATGGTGTAACCCCTGCTTTCACTGTATTTGATGTTGGTATAATTTTTGGAGGGGAAAGGAAAAAACAAATCCTTTAAATAGGGATACAGGTGGACCCATTGCAACAATGAGATGTACAAGTCGTTATGTCAAAAAAACGAACTTTACAACTTTGGTCAGGGGCGGGGGGAGGATTGGGTAGGGGGGTGGGGGGATGGGAAGGGATGAGAAGGGGAAACAAAGGAGGAGGCAGCAATGCTTGATAAGAAATGTACTCATTATCTTGCCCATGTAATTGTAACCCCTCTATATGGTATTTTCACAATAAAAAAATAAAGGAAAAAAACCCACTATAGGCACACAAAAAAAGGCAAATGTCTTAGTATTGTTATGAAAATAGTTTTTCTATGGCTTTGAGCATCTGCGATCTTGGCTGTAAAACTCATTTGGGATACCTCTCTTCCCTCCACGTCTGCAAATATCACCTGGTTCTGGATACGTCATCTCTTTTCTAGCTTCCTGCCACCACCTCAATTGGCTTTAAATCTCCAAAATAGGTTCGGAACTAAAGTTGCTTTGAAAACATGCATTTGAGCAAGCTACCCATTGGTTTAAAACTTTTCAATGGGTCCCGCTTTATTTAGGCTGAGTAGTAAAGTCTAAGTTCCAGTTCCTGCTGGGTAACTCCCAACACTGTCCTCTGCCTATTGGCTCCTAAGTAGGCTCTTATGCCTGCAGCTCCCTCACTACCCAAGGCCCTGGCTCAGGCTTACTCCCTAATCTGAATATTCTTGCTCTTCCCACCTTTTCACCTATCTACCCTGTAGTCTCAGATCAGCCATCATTACCTCCAAGAAATTTTCCTAAGCTACTCTTACTAGGTCAGCTCCTCCTCACAGAGGGATTTACAAGAATTTTGACAGTGAAAAAATTTAGAATTGTTCATGTGATTATTTGATCAATATCTAATTATGCATGGTGTAACAAATTGCCTCCCCCAAGAAAAATCCATTAGCAGCTTGAAATAGCAAGTAGTTTCTTAATTCACAGTTTGTTTGGCTAGAAATTTGTGAGCAGTTTAGCTGAGTGATTCTGTTCAGAATGTCAACCGGGGCTGTAGTTATTCTAAGACTTGACTGAGGCTAGAGATCTACTTCCAAGATGGCTCTGTGGGTCCTTCCTTCAGGCTGCTTGAGCTTCCTCACAACATGGCAGCTGCTTTACCCCAGAGAACAAGAGTTCCAAAAGGAAAAGGAAAAGGCTATGATGTCTCTAATAACCTCATTTCAGACATTCTGCTGATCATTCTGTAGTATTCTATTGACAACCCAGCTCATGCCTCTTCAATGTAGAAGGAGGCTATGTAATATATGAGTACAGAGAGGCAGGAACCAATAGGGCCACATGGAGATGGTTGAGAACGCAACTGTGCTTTCTCACTGTCAGATCTGCATGCCTCACTCAGCATATAGCATATTATGAATCTTCAGATATTAATAATTTTTGTGTGTTTATGTGTGTGTCATTCCTGGGGCTTGAACTCAGGACTTGGGTGCTGTCCTTGAGATTTTGTACTCAAGGCTAGCATTCTACTACTTGAACCATAGCTTCACTTCCAGCTTTTTTTGGTAGTTAGTTGGAGATAAGAGTCTCACAGACTTATGCCTGGGCTGACTTCAAATCATGATCCTAAGATTTCAGCCTTCTAAGTAGCTAGGATTACAGGCTCAGATACTAATTTTTGAATGAAAGAAATGAGTTTGGTTGGGTTATCCAGTTCAAACAGCAATATTTCAAGGGTAATTCAGTCTCAGCCTTTTCTTTACCCTTCAAGGTTCCAAAGTCAGGATATCAGAATCCTAGTCAGAGGGTTAAGAAAATACTATGAGCCCCATGATCCAGCTACAGCCAGCCTAGGCCTCAGGCATGCATCCTGTCTCAGAGTATGTACCCCACATCCTGGAGATACCACAGGCAGTTGTTCATTTCTCAGACACTTGAATCAGAGGAGGGGCAATCAAGAGACTAGCAAGGCATTGGTTTCACTTCATTTCATGTTAGCTGCCATCAAACAAGGGTGGCAAGCTGCACAGGCAACTCTGTTAGGTGCCTCTTTTTTTTAGCAACTTTGCCAGATCCCCAAGCTCCATCCAAGGAGCCAGGGAAGCAGCTGACCCTCAGCCAGCAGTCAGGATGTATTCCTGATGCATCTGCCCCTGGAAACACAGTTCTTCAATAATGCATGGAGCTATTAGCACCAGGCAGAGGATAGCTGGCTCTCTCTCCTAGTGATCAAAGCAGCCACCCCCAGGAGCCGAGTTGGTGATCAGATTTCATGGGCTCCTTAGAATGGCTGCCCCTCGGTATGAGATTAGAATGGCTGTTTTATGTCCAAGGATGAAAGCAGCGAGGATTTGGGAGTAAATCCGGCTTCCCAGAGAAATCAAAACGTTTCTATTTCATGACAAATGGATGCATGACACAGCTAATCGGTCCTGGGAGAGGAAACACAGCAGGACCAGCTGTCTACATTGACGGCTCCTCTCCGTGCTGTGTGAAACACGTAGGACACAGGAGCAGGGAAGCCATGCAATTTCCTTATGTCCAGGGCATCTCCTGGACCATAAAGGCCTGTCATCAATCCTTGGGAGATTCACCTCCACCCCGCAGCATTAGCAAAGCTGGGCATGATCTCCTTGGAGCTGAAGAGGTGATTGAGGCTAGGATAACTGAGGGGGAGGCTGCAGCTCCTCCTTAGAGTGCCTGATCATCTGTCCAGCACTTCTGCACACAGTCCTGCTAATCCTTATAGCAACTGACAATGTATTATTAGATTGTGCTATGATGGCTGGGGGTGGTGGTGCATGCCAGTAATCTGAGCATTTAGGAGGTAAAGGTACAAGGATTAAGAGTTTGTGGGCTAGCCTGAGCTGAGAGAGACACAGACAGACAGGGAAAGAAGGAGGAGGAAGGAGAGGAAAAGGAGGAGGAGGAGGAGGAAGAGGAGGAGGTGGGGGAGAGGAGTGGGGAGGAGGAGGAGAAGAGTAGAAACAAGAGGAGAGGAGAAGACGTCAATGATGAGAGAGGAGGAGAATGAAGAGGATGAGGAGGAAGAAGAGGAAGGGGAGGAGGAAAAGAAAGAAGAGGCAAAGAAAGAAAGCTCTCCAGTTATGACATGTGGGCACCCAGAGTAAAAATCCAGAGCTGCTTTCTGAGCTATGTTCCAAGACCAGCTGCTTCCTTAAGTCCCTCCACAGCCAGGGGGAGCATCCCTGGAGAAACTGGCCTTTCCCATTACTTGAGAAATGCGGGGAACTGGGCCAACACACCAATGTGGGAATGGCCTAGTCCATGTCCGCGGTGGCCCACAGTCAGCCCCAGCCTTCCTCCTAGATGTCTTTCATTGTCTTCTCTAGGGAGTCTTCTCCCTTAGCCCAGGAAGTCTAGAAGGAATCACTGATATCTTCTGGCTGCTGGCTCAGTACCCCTCCTAGGTCCAATCTAGTCTTGCTTCCATTACCTGTAGAACGGAGGTGATGATTCTCCTTCGTGGGTAGACAGCTCCAGAGCTCAGTTGATGCAGATAAATGCGACTCTCCTGGCTTGCAGACAAGGCAGGTGCCCGCTGAAGCCCCCACACAGTGCTCTTCCCTCCTCTGCAGTCAGCCTTCTATCACACTGGATCCCTCAAAAGGTGGCCTGGGGCTGATGGGTGCCTGTGCCCAGGACCTGCACAGGTATTTAGAGCGTGAGACACACTGGGGACTAATGCAGACCTGGGACTGGGGTCTGGCCACACATCTCAGGAAACCAGGAGATTGGCAAAGCTGGGTTGGTGAGGAGAAGGGAGATCGGCCATTGGGCTCTGTCTAGGTCACCTGTAAACATACGTTTGCAAATCACAGACCTGTGCTACTGCACACAGCTTCCCCGTGAGTCCACTGTCAAGGACAGATCGCATCTGCTGCCGAAGCCATCACCAGCCTCCCCGCCTCCACAGCCTCTGAACTCTCGGCCCTTCCTCCTCCAACACTCAAGGTAAAAACATCAGCCCCCAGAGTGGCAGTCTGACCTGTCCTGGACGCCTACCAAATCGCTTTCCCCATGATGCAGTCCTTGTTTGCACTCCACTGGGACCCTGCCACACATGCCTGTGGCTATTGCATCCCTGATTTGGTATCTTGAGCTCCCGGGGGGGGGGGGGGGGGGGGACAGGAACCTTGCCAGTCTTTCAGTCCCCAGGAACCTCTCCCCTGAACACTAGTGAATGAACAGGCGATGCTGTTGATGCTCTGACCGGTACTGCGCCTTCCTCCAAAGCCAAAGGCCAGGCATCCTAAGGGTTTAGGGATGCAGAGGAAGCCAGCACAGAGAACTCAAGGTCAAATGACTTAAGAGGAGGTGGGGGAAGGGCTAGGGCATAGGGGTGCTTATGAAGCAGGGCTCTGCAAAAAAGGGGGGACTGTGTGCCAGAAAGACCAGGAGTCATGCTCTGTGCCTACCCCGTGGAATACCCCCAGCCTGGTGAAGGCCCAGCCTTCTTCTTCCTCAGGCTGCCACACACTGTTCTTGGCTCAGTCTCCTGGGGACTGCCCCAATGGAGGGGCTTGGCGCTTGCCAGAGCCCCTTGTTTGCCTGAGGGCTGATGAACCCTCCACTCTCTGGGATTTCTAAGGTCAGGGAAATGACTGGACTTTCTAGGTCACTCCATTACTGAAACACACTGGGTTCCTTCTGCTCAATCAGAGCCAGCATCCCCCAGCTTGCAATCACAGTATGTTCCGGGCTCCCTCTCTTCTCTAGCCTGGGAAAGTGGGGCTCAAAGAAGAGGCTGTACCCAGGGGAGCACAATGAGGGTGGAGCCCAGGCCGCGTGTGATACTTGGCTTTCACAGACCCAACTCAGTAGCAAGCAGGAGCAGGAGTGTCGCCAGCTGCCTGGACTCCAGCCAGGAGCTGCCTGCACGAGGCTCATTTATCTATGGCCAGGATTCCCAAAGACGCATGCTCCAGCCCTGCTCCCTGCTTTATGCTGAGCCCCATGCAAATGAGCTCGCTCCGTGCTGGTGGGAACTAAGGACACAGGGACCACAGGATGGACCATAAACTGAACTAGGGAGACCAGCTCCAGGGACTGCCTTAAAGTAAGGAAGGCCCTCAGGAGGGAGCAACAGTCGGGGCAGAACATGGTAGAGAGAGTCTGCAGAGATGGTGGCTGGGAGGCTGGGAAAAGGGATACCTGGAAGGAGGCTAGGTCTAGGGAAGGATAGAATGGAGTGTCTTCCTCTTCTAGGATGGTCGTAGCCTCTCCAAGGACTAAACAGTGACCAAGGGATTCCATCATGGACTCTGGGGGCTGGGAGGGAACAGAGCTGTGTGGAATAGACTCAGCCAATTGTTACGCACAGCTGTGTCTCACCCATATTAAGTATGGCTCACTGAGTCGCCTCTTTCTGGACCAACCCCTACCTCTCTCTGTCCCTAAGAATATCGACCGCACAAACACATAACCTCACCCCTTCTAGAGAGTGATATCATCAAATGTGCCCTCGGTCCTGTCACCTGGCATTCCTGGAAGCTCCGAATGTCCCTCCAGCTGAACACGGATCCCACCCTGAAGAATTACAGTCATCTGACTGCTCTGTCCTCCCCTCCCCCAGCCTAGAACAAAACAGAATCTGGAGTCTAAGATTATGTGGTTTGATCCCAAGTCCTGAGTCTTCAGTCAGTCTGAATGTCTTGGTCATAAGCTGGGTGAGTGGACTTAGCATGCAGATGGCAGTGAGGTTCAAGGAGACTCAACTAGGCATGGTAACAATAGGTGCTAACTAAATACTGATTCTTGCTGTCATAACCAGATATCTGCTGACAACCTGCCCTGCAGAGATGTGGCCACAGTTTTGTCTGAGTGACCACTCTTGGCAGGGAAAGCACACCTCAGGCATTGACTTCTCCATGCTCACGGCCTGTGAATGGTGCTGGTAAAAGAAGATGGGGGTGGAGTCACCTATCCAGGAAAGGGAGGAGCTTAGGGTCAGGGAACTCCAAGAATCCTGACTACTTTATTCCATCTGATCTCTGGCCCACTGGACATGGCCACCTTCCCTATCTCCCAAGACCCCAGTTGACTAGGCCAGGCTGGCCAATTATGGCAGGCTGGTTCTGTGGCTCAGCGTCCCTGAGCTTCTACTCTCACCCCAGCTGGGGACAGACTCTCTTTCTCTCCCCTCTTGTTATCCCTAGGCAGACCGATCTGCACCAGGTCCAGAGTGATGAGCAGTGCACACACATGGTGCCATCAGCCAACTCACAGATCCCTCCTGCTTCCCTGAGAGACCTGGAGGTACTTGTAGGGCTGTTTCAGGGAAGTAGGACTTAGCCCTCACTCTATTGTTCAAGGTCTGGCAAGGCCTAAGGCTGCTCTGGCAATGTTTTCTGACAGAGCCTCATAACCACCATAGCCTTTGCCACTCCTTAACAAATTCTTCTTGGTGCCAGCCATGAGCCAAACTCTGAGCAGCAAGAGAAAGGTACCTTGACAGACCTGTGGGAGGTGAGGGAGGTAAGTTGAAGACTCCAGCAAGACCAACAGAATTGCCTTAGATGGGCTGGAGGTGTGGCTGAGTTGGTAGAGTGCCAGCCAATGAGCAAAAGCATCAGGGGCCAAGTTCGAGTCATGTTCTCAGACAGAAAGAAAAACCCAGCACCAGTGGCTCATGCCTATAATCCTAACTACTCAGGAGGCGGAGATCTGAGGATCACAGTTTAAAATCAGCCTGAGCACAAAAGTCCATGAGACTTGTATCTCCAATTAACCACAAAAAGCTGGAAGTAGAGTTGTAATTCAAGTAGTAGAGTGCTAGCCTTGAGCACAAAAGAAAAGAACTGTGTGAGAGCTCCATGGAAGATGGAGTTTAAGACGGGCCTGGAGAAACTGGATGTGAATAGTGTAGAAATAACCAAAAATCAACTTCCATCAACAAAAAGGGACACGCTGTTCACAAAAGCAAAAGCCCCGAGAGAGGTAGACACATAGGGGCCGCAGTGGGCAGAGGGCATGTGTGCAGGGACTGGGCAGTGGGCTTCTAGGAAGGATGGAGGCAGCTAGTAAAGACCGAGCATCCAAGGTCATCTCAGTAGGGAATGCTTGGAGCATAGCTGTCTCTGGGCAGAGCCCAGGGAAGAGCTGTCACTCACCTGTCTTTAGTACGGGCCAGGCAAGTGCAAGAGGCTCCTAACCTTGGCCTCTCACGGTTCCAAAGGCAACCCAGAAAGGACACAACTGTAGAAATCAGAGACTCCGTGAGAAGAGCAGGTCATCAGAAAGTCAGCAAACAGCTCCCCGGCAGCTACTGCCAGCGCTTGCCACCCCAGCCCCACCCACGCTGGGAGCCCTCACCTCTCCAGCTCAGACCAGTCTCCATAGCACTAGGGCCATATCTCTCCAGCCAGCTGAGAGCCAGGCCACCCAGCCTTTCCCCAGGGCAGAGCCAGAGACCCAGGTGCCAAGGCCATCCTCAGCTCCCTTTGGCAGACCAGCTGCCTCTTTGTCTTATATTTAAACAGAAGTTGCAAAAGAACACAGAGTTCTCCACTATCCTTCACCCACCTCCTGCTAATGCGAACATCTTACATAATCACGGCACATTTGTCAAAGCGAACAAATTAACATTGGAACAAAAGTATTAACTCAACTCCAGACTTTATTCTCATGTCAGCAGCTTTCCTCAATGGACATTATGTAGTCTGTTTTCTGGTCAGGCTCTATGGCACTGACTTGTGTGGCTTTGTCTCCTTCTGGCCTGGGACAGTTTCTCAGTCTTTCCTTGTTTCTCCTGACTTGACATACTTTCTTAATTTGTGTGTGTGGTTTTTTTTTTAGTATGACACGCACTACATGTACAGCCTCAGATTTGTCGCTTTAACTATTTCTAAGCACGCAGATTGGTGGCATTAATCACACTCACAGATGTTGTACAGAATCATCACAAATAGAAAGTCTGTCTCTGTGAAGCAGTGATGCACCCTTCCTCCCAGGCTCTACTCCCAGGCCCCTGGGGAGGGGAGATCCAACCCCTGCTGCTACACAGGAGAAAGGCCTTGCTCCTAACCAGTCCCTCCAGTCCTCAATGCTACCCAGAGGCTGTGGGAGTTCTACCCATCCTCCATCCTTAGCCAAATGAGTGTTTACCAAGGTAGAGAGAAGTAGAAAGTCCCACACTTCCTGTTTCCCAAGAAATTATCCCACCTAGGGGCCTTTTAACCAAAAGAGAAAAAAGAAAGTTACTTTCAATGGATCAGCCTACAGAAAACTCCTGCTGAGGCCCAAACCACCAGCAGAAAAAAGCTCTGCCGTTCTCTTCCTAAAGCTAATGGGGCTCTGGGGGCAGCTGCTCCAAGCGAAGCACCCCAAATTGAAGCTCCTTTTCTCACCAGTCTTGGCCCTGGCTTCCGTCATTGTGGCTATGGGAGAGTAGGGAGTGTCATAACTGCTATTATTAATATTATTAAAGAGTATTAATATTGCTATTTTGGTGTTAATACTGAGGCTTGAACTCAGGGCCTGGTACTGTCCCTTGGCACTTTTTTTTCCTCAAGGCAGATACCCAACCACTTAAGCCACACTTTCATGTCCAGCTTTTTGCTGGTTAATTGTAGATAAGAGTCTCATGGACTTTTCTGCCCAGGCTAGTTTCAAGCCATGAATAACTAGGCTTATAGGCATGAGCTACCAGGGCCCAGTATAGCTATAGTTTTGACTCTCAGTTGGCCTCATCAGCAGGCTGGCCCCAACTACCCAGGGTGTGATGAACAGAAGATGGCTTTTATGCCAGGTGTGTATGCCAAGGGTAGTGTCATGCATGCCCCCTCTGCCATCTGCTGACATGCTCAGGGCATCAGCATGGCTGGCTTCTGCACTATGACAGCAACGTTCTGACCTCTGAGGCGGGTTCACCAGGCCTCACTGCTCCTTGCCAGACTTCCATCACCAGGCTCCAGCCACCTGTCCACACATTTGTGCACGCCAACTGGACACACTTGCTGCCCGCCACACCTGCTGCCAGGCCCTCAGGCCCTGGCTCCACCTGCGGCTAGCCTTCCTGTTTCCTGCTCCTCCCCCACTCTTCTGTACAGTTCTAGGTCAGGGCTCCACGGTCAGCTAGTTAACACTTCTGTGCCCCACTCTATCCAGCAGGTATAAATGTCTCCTGGCGAACCAGTGCCTGCTCTTACTGATCCTTAGGGCAGAGGGAGTGCTTGCTACCTGATCAGTAAGTGGGTCTCCTCATGCCCCAGGGGCTCCTCCATCCTGGACATGAAATATTGTCCCTCTCCCCTGGGAATGGCACCAGGTGGCTAGTCCCTAGGGACCCTGTCAGCCCAAGTGGGGTAAGGCAAGCTCTCCCTGCTGCTCATTGAGACCTGCTGTAGCAAAATCCTGAATGGACAATGGGGACACAAAAAATAGGAACCCAGGCTGGCCAACTGATGCCATAGACAGATAAAGCAAAGTGTACAGTGTACAGCTCCGTCTCGGTGGCAGCTTCTGAGACACTGGGAATCTGTACTTGGGGGTCACAGCTAAGATCCCACTTCTGTCTCTCTAAACCTCATTCTGACATAGATGACTGTTCACTGCACTACCTTAGGAACCCAGGTCTGCTGGGTGCTAGTGACTGATGAGGTTAAGATCTGTGGATTGCTGGTTGAAGCCATTTCAGGCAGGAAAGTCTGAAAGTCTACAAGACTTTTACCTCCAATAACACACACACACACACACACACACACACACACACACACACATACACATGCACATGCACGCACACGTGCATGCAGCACACTCACATACAGAGCCAGAAGTGGAGCTGTGGCTCAAGTGGTACAGTGCCAACTTTGAACACAAAAGCTAAGAGCCAATACCAGGCTCTGAATTCAAGCCCTAGTACCAGCACAAAAGAAAAAGAAAGTAAAGAGAAGAATGAAAAGGAAACCCACATCTGCCACTTTTTTGCTGTGTGACCTAGAAAAAAAATCTTACCTTCTCTGACACTTTCTTCATTTGTAAAATAGAGATCATTAGAAAGTCATGTTCATTAGGTAAGGATAAAGTGCACTTGATTTCTAGAAAGTTCTTCCACCTCTTCCTACTATGAAAAGTCCACACTGTCTATCAAAGTCCCGTTTCTCTCTGAACCCAGCTGAGTTTTCCCACAGCAGTGACCAACTCACACCAATTTGCCCAGGATGTTCCTAATGTTTACCTGAAAGTCTTGTGTCCTGGGCAGACCTCACTCTGGTTGGTCACCCCATTTCCCAGACCCCCCACTTACAAATCCCCACCGTGGAAGGCTTGATTATTCACACTCCTAGAGCAGCCTCTGCACACGCCACCATCACACACGCTGCTCTCTCCTAACACCTTTCCTCATCGTCCACAGTCAAAAGCCACAACAGTGTTGCAGTCCTGCTCTCTGTCCCCGCCTGGAGTCACACTCCCTCCTCCTCCCCTGAGGAATCCCTGGAAGCTGCAACACAGCTCCCATCGCACCCCACCCATGCTAACAGCCAGCCAGGGCCAACGTGGCTGCCACGGTGCCCTTCACCCAGCAGACACCTGGCAAATGCTGGACCCCCTTACAACCCCTACAGCTGCCTTCCTGGCCATCTCTAGCCCTTGCTCGGACAGATGGACTCCTCAGGAGAGCTGTGCCCAAGGGTAGCTCAGCTCCTCAGAGACTTCTGCCCCAGTCCTTACTCTACACCAAGGGCAAGAACGCTAGGCTGGGGCTGCCTGCCCCCAGCCACTTGGAGTCCATCACTCCCTGTTCTTACTAAGAATACACACACACACACCCCACACACATATATGTATTTGTGTATATATTTCCCCCAAGAGTTTTCATATTTGTGTATAAATACATAATATATACACATATATATTTGTGTGCAAATGTACATACACACACAAACATATATGCAGTGAAGCTGCTAGAAACCATTTCTGAAGCAGCCACTGCCATCAAACCAAAGTGAAGGATGGGCCAATATGCTCCTAAATCAGCAGCTGAGCTGTAACAGGCAGATGGCATGGGTGTGAAGGGATGGCCCCAGAGACAGGGTCACAAAGCCAGAGGGAGCAGTCACAGCCCCCCAGCCCATCCTGACAGGACAGGGAGGATGGACAGGCTGGCGCAGGGGGAGCGGGGTGGCCGTGATGCTACCACACCTAGGGACAGGACAATAGCAGGCAGGGTAGGACAGATGGGTGACCCCGAAGACGCCCAGAGACCCTGCTTCCTCTCCTGGCCCGCCTCAGTGTCTGTAGGGCAGACAATGGAAGTTTCCGGTAGTCGTGGAGAACAGACAAGGCCGAGATGTCTCCTCTCCCTCTCTGGTGAAGCTGAATTGAGGAGGCAGGCTGGGTTAAGGCAGACAGATGCTGGGGGCAGACAGATGGGAGTAGGGGTAGCAGCTACTGCTTCGTTTTGATTCTGTGCCCACCATTAAACATGAAATTCACTTGAGGGATTCAGCCAATAAACCTTCATTGGAGACTACTCGACCCCAGGGGTACAACAGTGAATGACAGGTTCTGAACCCCTCTGTGCTCTTATTTTTTTTCCTCCCTACCTCTGTCACATGAGGCCTGTTTCTTATCTGCTTGTTTGTTCTTTATTTTTGGTGCCAGTACTGGGGTTTGAACTCAAGGCCTGAGCACAGTCCCTGAGCTTTTTTCTCTCAAAGCTGGTGCACCATCTATTGATCCACGCCTTCATGTATGGCTTCTTGGTAGTTAACTAAGAGAGTCTCACAGACTTTCCTGCCTGGGCTGGCTTTGAACCTTGATCCTCAGACCTCAGCCTCCTGAGCAGCTAGGCTTACAGGCGTGAGCCACCAGTATCCAGCTCAAGGCCCACATCTTAGAAACAAAGAAACAGAATCACAGAGAGATAGGAGGACAGCATGGAGATGGATACCCCACTGTAAGAGATTTCCATGCAGTGCCAGATGGATATCTTTCCAAGGCATATCAATACTCTCCCGGTTCCCTGGATTCCCTCCTCAGAAATTCTGTGGCCACTGATATTCATAGGCATCTGTTTCCTGCAGTTTCTGAAAGAACGATATGAGTTGCACAAGCCCAAGACACTGTGCACTAATATATACATGGCCACCACTGGGCCAGAGCTCAGAGTTCCCTCCTAGCCACTTGGTAAACTGCCTGCCCACCAGAAACCCTCTGCCCTTCACCTGACCCAGCCTGTGGGTTCTATACCCAGCACTCATGACCACAGTACAGCCAGCAATGTTACCTGGCCAGAGTTATCCCCTTGCTCCACAAAGACAAGGCAGAGAGACTGTCTTCCCAAGTAAGCACTGGCCAGACTGAAACAAAGGAAAAGCAGATTCTGGGGTTTGGACTTCTGGAAGATTCCCAGAACCCACAGGTAAGTGCAAGCCACTCCCTAGGTTAGGCCTC